TTGACTGTGTTTCTTCAAGCCATGATACTTCAGCCTTTTGAATAGTTGAAGCTAGGATTGTAGGTATGTGCAACTGGCACCCGGCCTAGATTTAGTTTAAGATTATGGGTATGCTAATGAGTATGAAGTGTATCTCAGGGTAGTATTTGTGTTTGTGTGTCTGTGTGTTCATGTGTGTGCATGCATGCCAGTACTAGGGCTTGAATTTAGGTCCTGAAGCTCTCTCAGGTTATTAGTAGTATATAGAAATATAGCCGATTATTTTTGTGTTGCTTTTACACTTTGCTAAAACAGTTTGCAGAGACTAAGATATATTTTACAGCCTAATCTGGAAACTAATGGAAATGAAATAGCTGAATTATTTTTGTGTTGCTTTTACATTTTTCTAAAACAGTTTGCAGAGACTTAAGATACACTTTACAGCCTAATCTAGAAACTAATGGAAATGAATCTCTCTGCTCTGCTCTTTCCTGGTGGGATACACACTAAAATATTAAAATCAAATTTAAGTCTGGCTATAGAATCTGATTTAAGTATCTAATAATTTCTCAATTTTAGGTCTATCTGTGAAGGAAATGAAGGCTTGAACATTGTTAAAATCTTATTTAGCCAGGTGCTGGTGGCTCATACCTGTAATCCTAACTACTCAGAAGGCTGAGAGCTGAGGATCCATGTTTGAAGCCAGCCTGTGCAGGAAAGTCTATGAGATTCTTTTTTCCAGTTAACTACCTGCCCCCACCCCCACCCCCACCCCCCCAAAAAAAAGCCAGAAGTGGAGCTATAGCTCAAGACAGCACTCAGGCCCCGAGTTCAAGTCCCAGTACCAGTACAAAAACAACAAAATAAAAAACTCCCAAAATCTTGTTGAATATTTCACAATGCTATATCATAGGTGTTTCTGCAGATGGCATTTACTTTTATTAATTTTTACTTATTTACTGACTGGTTTATTTATGAATGGCTATTTGTTAACTTGTTTATTAATTTAGTCAGCCCCCCTCTGTAGCCCAGACAGGCCTCGAATTCAGAATCTTCCTGCTTCTGTGATTCAGGCATGCTCCACGATATTCAGCTCATACAGGTTTACTTAATAATGTGATACCAAAGAGCATGGAGTTGTGAGGAAATTTTAATTTGAATTGGCTATTGCTTGAACAAAGAGTAACTCTTCTTTTAAAAATGTTTACCTTGAGGTCTTCTGCGCCCCCCCAGCCCCCTTCCCGGCATGGCAGCGGAAGACAAGGCGGCATCGCCGCGGCTCCCGGATCTGTTTGAAAGTGGCAGGCAGATGCTGGACGAGGTGGAAGTGGCCACGGAGCCCACGGGCTCCCGGGTGATCCAGGACAAGGTGGCGTGGGGCCTGGAGGTGCTGGAGAAGGCGGAGGCCATGCTGTCGCAGCTCGATCTGTTCAGCCACAACGAGGACTTGGAGGAAATAGCCTCGGCCGACCTGAAGTACCTGATGGTGCCCGCGCTGCGGGGCTCGCTCACGCTCAAGCAGGTGGGCGCCAGCCGGCGCCTGGACCACCTGCAGCAGGCCCGTGAGCACTTCCTGCGCTTCCTCACCCAGTGCCAGCACTACCGTGTGGCTGACTTCCAGCTGCCGTCGGTCACGGACGACGACGAAGCCGACACCGAGGCGGAAGACCCCGCCGGCCGCCCGCCGCCGGCCATCGCGGACCTGGTGGCCATGGCGTCCCAGCGCCAGGCCAAGGTGGAGCGGTATCGGCGGAAGAAGGCCCTGGAGCAGAGGCTGTGTGCGCTCAAGGCGGCCGTGGAGAGCGGGCAGGCGGAGGACGAGCGCGTTCGCGAGTACCACCTCCTCCACCTGCGGAGGTGGGTCAGCATCAGCTTAGAGGAGCTCGAGAGCATCGACCTGGAGATGAAGGTCCTGAGAGACAAGGACTCCTTGGGCGAGGCCTCCACCTCGCACGCACCCGTGCCCGAGCGGCCTCCCATGAAGCCCTTCGTGCTCACGCGGAATAAGGCCCAAGCCAATGTTTTCGGAGCCGGTTATCCGAGTCTGGCAACGATGACGGTGAGTGACTGGTATGAGCAGCGCGGGAAACTCGGAGAATTCTCGGATCAGGGAGTAGCCCAGACCCCAGTCCAGTTCTCCAGAGCGCCTCAGCGACAGGAGAGTCAGGAGCAAAAGGAGGAAGAGTCAGATGATGAGAGCGCGCTCCACAGAGCGCGCGAGTGGGATGACTGGAAGGACACCCATCCGAGGGGCTATGGCAACCGACAGAACATGGGCTAATCTGCCCTACACACCCCGAGGATGCACTGCAGCTTCCCTGCCGAGGGAACCCCGGCGTCTTCCCCTCCCCGGCCTCCTGCTTTCAGCCCTGTGCAAGGAAGGTAAAAAGATGCCGAGTCTTGTTTTGTTGTCAATAAAGTATCCAACAGTCAAGTGTCTATTTGTACCCTAGATAATGACCAGTGATCTTGTTTTGCCATCACTAATTTTCATCGTGGTCTATTCGATTCCTTTAATGGAACAGAAAAGGCACTTGAGAAATGGTTCTGTATATAATCGATGGCTGTATGAATTCTCTTTTAAAAATAAAAAGTCCCTATCATGTGAGTCTGTGCAGAAAAATATTATTGTATCTTTTGCCTCTTCTTTGTTCTACTAGTCTTTGAGGAGTTTTTTTTTGTTCTGTACTTTCCAGTTATTTATTATAGAATGTAAATTTGTCTAATCAGGGAGTTGGTCTCCCCAGAACAGGGTACTCAATAAATACTTGTTGAGTAAGTAAATAAAATAATTCAGTAAACTGGGTGCCGGTGGCTCACGTCTATAATCCTAGCTACTCAGGAGGCTGAGATCTGAGGATTGCCGTTCAAAGCCAGCCCGGGCAGCATAGTCCATGAGACTCTTATCTCCAATAAACCACTAGAAAACTGGAAGTGGCGCTATGACTCAAGCTGTAGAACGCTCACCTTGAGCTGAAGAGCACAGGGACAGCGCCCAAGCCCAGAGTTCAAGCCCCACGACTGACCAAAAAAAAAAAAAAAAAGAGTCTCACAGACTTTCCTGCCCAGGCTGGCTTTGAACCATGATCCTCAGAGCTTAGCCTCTTCAGTAGCTAGGATTACAGTGTGAGCCACCAGTGCCCGCTGCTTGGAGGTTTCTATTAAAGCTGACTTTGCCAAGTGTACATATTTCTTTTCCACCACCAGGGAGTGGTATAATAGCCTAAGTCAAGTTCTAGGAATATTTCAGATAGTGACATTTTGTTATTTCTGTAACTTAAAATTTCCTTTCCATTTAGTCTGACTAGCTTGTCCCAAAGCATATGTAATAATAACGGTAAAAATGGTCAGGCATAGAACTTGAGTCTGTAATCATCACACTCAGGAGTATAAGGCAGAAGAATGGCAAGCTGGAAGCCTTTTTGGTCTATGTAGAAAAACATAATCTTAAAAAGCAGTAAATGGCGATTTTGCCCAAAGTTTTTATATAACATTTTCTTTTCCATTTTTTTTTTTTAATGCCTGCACTAGGACTTGAACTTAGGGCTTGGACATTTTTCCTTATCTTTTTCACCCAAGGCTGGCACTGGAGCACTTGAACCACAACTCCTTTTCTGGCTTTTGCTGGTTCCTTGGAGGTAAGAGTCTTATAGATGTTCCTGCTTAGTCTGGCTTCAAATCATAATTCTCAGATCTCAGCCTCTTGTGTACTTTGCTAAGATTACAGGTGTGAGTCACTGGTGCTCAACTTTAGCATTTTCAATTCATTTGTGTATGTGTTTATGCACTTATTAGTATATATTTATAAAAAGATTCCATTGCACTGTCTTTATACATGCACATAATATACTTTGATCAAATTCACCTCTTATTATTCTTATCTCTTCTGTTATTTTAATAATTTTTAAAATATATTTTTATTGTAAAAATACTGTACAGAGGGGTTACAGTTACATGAGTAAGGTAATGAGTACTTTTTCTATCAAGCATTGTTACCTCCTCCTCCTTTGTTTTTCCCCTACCATCCCTTTCCTCCCCCTCCCCTGACAAAGTTGTAAAGTTCATTTTCAACATAGTGTCTTGTACATCTCATTGTTACAATGGGTCAACCTGTATCCTTGTTTCAGCATTTTGTTATTTCCCTTCCCCTCCCC